CTTCTTATCACTTCATTAGTAAAAAAATATCCATAGCACTGCTCTAATGAGGAAAACTGAATGTTCTTAATGATGGATGGTGCAGTCATTGTTTTAAGAACATGACTAAATGATGCCAAAGGAACTTTCTAACAGTCATCCAAAGAGACAACCAGAGCTAGGGCACTTGAGGAAACAGAGATGTATGTGTGCCGCTCTGGTCCAGAAGGTGTGTACGTTTAAGCTTTAAGGATGTTATTGTGGATCAAAGATGGCTGCACATTCTTGCTACTCCCTCCTATGGGAGGTGGAGTCTGAATCTCCTGTTTTGAATTTGGGCTGGCTTTAGTGACTTGCTTGACTAACAGAGTGTGAAAGAAGTGATGATCTGGAACTTCTGAGGCCAGGTCCGAAATCTTCTATCTTCTACCTGGATTTTTCAGAACACTCACTCTTAAAGAAGTCAACTACTAGGTAAGACACCTGACTACACTGAGATCACCATTCTGGGATGAACCCAAGATAGCCAAATTTTGAGAGAGAGACTGTGTGTGTGTGTGTGTGTGTGTGTGTGTGTGTGAGAGAGAGAGAGAGAGAGAGAGAGAGAGAGATGCCTAGCCAGCCCCAGATGTTCCAGTCACACTAGACCAGGTGCCAGTTCTGTGCATGCAAGAGTCATGTTGGACATTGCAGCCTCAATAGATGCAATTTGTAAAAGAACCAAGGATCTGCCCTGGCCAGTTTGGCTCAGTGGTTACAGCATCAGCCTGTGGACCGGAGAGTCCTGGGATCCATTCCCACTAAGGGCACATACCTTGGTTGTGGTTTGTCCCCAGCCCCGGATGGGGTCGTGTGGGTGGCAACCACTCGAAGTGTCTCTCTCACATTGATGTTTCTCTCTCTTCTCCCCCTCTCCTTCCCACTCTATCTGAAGACACATGCAAAAATGTCCTCGGGTGAGGATTAAAAAAAAAATGAACCAAGGATCCCAGAGGATAGCCAGAACTGAGGCCACCAGCATATGGCCCCAGTTCAGCTATCCCAGCCATTTCCAGCCATTAAAACTATTAAACTCCAGCTGAAGTCATCATGAAACAGAGAGGAGAGCCCTTGCTGTGTCCTCTCTGCATTTCTAGCCTACAAAATCGTAAGCATAAGAAAATGGTTGTTGTTTTATGCCACTGTGTTTCAGAGTGGTTTGTTATGCAGTAATAGATCATTGGAACAGGTGTTGAAGAGTGGATTTTTATCACTTAGCTATTGCCACAATTATGCAGCATAATACTTGACTCCAAAATTTGATGAGTTTCAACAGCATTTATTTTTCTCACTCACAGGTCTATAAATTGCTTGTGGTGCTCTTCTTTAGGCTGTGAGGGCACCGGGCTTGCTTAAGGCTACAGGGTGGATCCTGTCTTTGTTGTGGTGCCAGGCTGAAGGGGGAGCATCTACTTGGGGCATGCTGGGTCACATATATGCAGGAATCCAAGTGTAACTCTCTAAAAACATTTTGATACTTCTGCTCGTTTTATAACCACTTATTCCATGGCCAAGTAGTCCACATGGTCAAGCTCAAAGTCAAAAGGATGAGTACACTTCCACCCAAGGGAGAAGAGGAAGAGAAGAAAGACCTGCTGAACAATACCGCAACCTATTGACAGCTTCATGCATGGAATAACGGTGGTGGTGATAATGAATAGTGTCAAATTGGACCACTTTTTTTTTTTTTTTTTATCCTCACCCGAGGATATTTTTCCATTTTTTGTACAGATAGAGTGGGAGGGAGAGAGAGGAAGGAAGAGAGAGAGAGAAACATCGACGTGAAGGGACACATCGAGTGGCTGCCACCCGCACGACCAACCAGGGCCGGGGACAAACTGCAACCGAAGTACGTGCCCTTAGCGGGAACCGAACCCGGGTCTCTCCGGACTGCAGGCCGACGCTCTAACCGCTGAGCCAAACTGGCCAGGGCAAATTGGACCACTTTTAAGGTATTTCTATAAGTTGGTACGTATACATATAGAAGCCAATGAGAACACATGTAAGTGTTGTGTCTAAATACTGGAATCAATCATTTTTTGTACTAAGTTCCTACAAGCAGGAGGCATGTAAAATTATGAAAATACAAAATAAATGCAATATAAAAGCAAAAGGAGAGGAATTTTAAAAAGAAAGCAGAAAATGAAACCCTGTACCAAATTTAGGGAGGCCAGGGGCAGACACCTGTTCCTTGATTTGTTTCACATGTAGGCAGAGCTGCTACAGGGCAGCCAGATCCTAAAGGAAGCCCCAAGAGACCAGCTCATCCTTAAGGAGGTGCCAATAATGCAGAGAGTACCCACTCACACTTGAGGGTTAACTATTAACACAGGTCTAGGCTGCACAGAACAGCACAAAAAGCTGTGCACAGCAAGCAGAGTTGGAGCAAGGGGGATTAAGAAAGGCTTTTGTAGAGAAGTAATGTCTAAACTAGGATAGAAGCTGAACCTAATCCTAACATATAAATTATTTATTAGGAAGATTGGTCTGAGGCAAGGCATAATATAAGATGGTTGGAACAAGAGGAGTTTTGAAGGTGGGAAGACTAATTGGGAGAACAATTCCATAGTCAAGATAAGAAGTGAGGAAATATGCCCTGGCCAATTTTGCTCAGCGGTTAGAGCATTGGCTGGAGGACCAAGGAGTCACAGGTTCAATTCCAGTCAAGGGCACATACCTCGGTTTCAGTCCATCCCCCACCCTGGTCGGGCTTGTGTGGGAGACAATCAGTTGATGTGTCCCTCTCACATCAATGTTTTTCTCTCTCCCTCCCTCCCACTCTACCAGATAAATGGAAAAATATCCTTAAGTGAGGATTTTAAAAAAAAGAAGTGAGGAAATAAAAAGTGAGCCAAGTGAGGTAGCAGTGGAAATGGATAGGAGGGGTGGATGTGATAAATATTGTGAAAAAAGTGTCAATGGGATTTGACAACTGGTAAGACGAGAGACATTAGAGAAGAAAGACTCAAAGGTCACTAAGATTTCAAGTACAGCCTTGAGGAAGGCAGCTATGAGGTAGTTTTTGACATGCTGAGTTGGAATGTCCAGGCAGACATGTAAAGTGGGCAAATGGAAATTCATTTCTGGAGCATGATTTGAGTCCTTGCATAAAAATATAGTCAAAACAAAGGGAGTTACTGGTTGGCAAACCGACAGTGTGTCTCTGGAATTTCCTCTTTCTTCTTGCACAAAGAAATAAACTTCATAATGCAAAATCAGATAAAAATATGTGCAGCTCTCTACTGCACATGTACCCCCACTCTCTCCCTAAAAAAAAAAGTCTACAAGCTCCAGCCTATGACTGACTGGCTGGCTGGCTGGTTTCAAGTAATGGAAATCCTCACTGTCTCAAAATTTGGACAGCTCCTTAAAGTTCCTTAGGAAGGCTTTTTGATTTGCACAAATATCTGTCATGACATGTTTTAAGATGACTCCTTTTCAGCAAGAAATCTATAGTAAATTGTCTTCCTCCTTAATTTAGGTTAACCACGTGTAAGACGACTTCTCTTTCACAGAAGTCTTGAAAGAACAATTCTTTTCAAAAGCAGAATGAGAAAATATAAAAATCTAAAACGTGACAGAATAAAACAATTTTAGAGTTTTCTCCTATATCTGCTGTGAACAGAGCAAATGTTAAATAAAAGTTGAAATAAAAAGGAAATGAATCAATTGGGAGGAGGGTGTCAATGGGGGGGGGAAAGGAGAAACATCTGTAACAAAAATAAGTTAATAAAAATAATTGTTTAGCCCTGGCCGGTTTGGCTCAGTGGTTGGACCGATGGCCTTCGGTCTGGAGAGACCCGGGTTCAGTTCCCACTAAGTGCTCGTACCTCGGTTGCAGTTTGTCCCTGGCCCTGGTTGGGTTGTGCAGGTGGCAGCCACTCCATGTGTCCCTTTCACGTCGATGTTTCTCTCTTTCTCTCTCTCTTCCTCTCTCTCCCTCCCACTCTATCTGAAAATAATAATAATAAAATAAAAAAATAATTGTTTAAAAAAAGGAAATGAACCGAATGTGAACAGTAAGGAACCATCTTCACAGGCAGTCTAACCAGCCATCTGCACTGTTTTTGCAGGATGGCTGAGGGATGGAAGAGGTTAAACCCGTGGCCTGTGTGTTTCAGCTGAGGTTACGTGGTAGAAAGACAACTGGAAGTAGTGGCTTGAGAACTCTGTTTCTTTTAGAAGAGATTTGCATCTTTACTGCAGACAGCTGCAAGAGAACCCAAGCCACGCAGTGGCAAGGCGGGGCGCTGGGTTTGGTGGCGCAGCGGACCAGGGCTTCACTTAGTTGTGTGAGTCCTTAATGGGCTTGTAGATAAAGCTTTTCTCATCCATCCATCCATCCATCCATCCATCCATCCATCCATCCATCCATCCACCCTTCCATCCATCTATCCGTTTGCGGTCTCAGGGCCAGGGCCTGCGCTGGGCTTTACCGCCTGCAACCCCATAGGACTTCATGGGAGGATAGGATTTTACGCAGGACGCAAAAGGAAGACGACCCTGGGGCCCCTCACCACGCGTGGCCCCTAGGCAAAAGAGACCAGCAAGTCCTCAGGTCGACTGTGGGAGGTGCAGGGTGAAAGCACCAACCTTGGAGGAAACCCCTCCCCCAATCAGGACAAGGAACGCAGCTGCGGCCAACATTCTCCCGGGCTCTCTGACCCCGGGACGTCCCTCAGATGGCACCTCCCCCGAGGAGCCTGGAGCCCGCCTCCATCAGCGGGGTCCAGAGGCGGCTGGGGGCGCGCGGACTGGCCGGCTCCACTTGCGTCTCAAGGTCTCCAGCAGTAGCCCCCACCCGGCCGCCCCGCCCACCGAGCCGGCCACTAGGAGTGGAGGAGTGCGGCTGGCGCGCAGATCGCGGCTTCCGGGCGCTGATTGGCCAGAGCTGCGGGGAGCCGGCGGTGAGTGTGGAGGGGCGGGCCCAGGCCGATCCCTCCTTCCCATCGGCTTCTCCCAAGCGGCTCCTGCGTTGCATCATCTTCACCCTGCCACTGCTCTGCGAAGGCTGGGCGTGGTGCGATCCGCTTAACCAGGGCCTCCAGCCCGCTTCCAGCTCCTCTCCTGGCCCTCTCTGCATGTGCTCCTGCGCCCAGACCGGGAATCTCCCGAGGGCTGGCTCCCAGAACCCGCCCGGCACAACTAGTTGATCACGCTAACTCCACTGAGCCATTCATTGAGAGCCCAGTGTTTTACTGGAGCCCAAGTCCCTCACATCCTTAAGCTCGGAGCTGCGGGCAACACCATGGAGAAGAGCAGCGAGACCAACGGCTACCTGGACAGCGCCAAGGCTGGGCCTGCAGCGGGGCCTGGAGCGCCCAGGACCGCCGCAGGACGCTGCGCCGGCTTTCTGAAGCAAAACGCGCTGGTGCTGCTTACCGTGTCCGGGGTGGTGGCGGGCGCCGGCCTGGGCGCAGCGCTGCGCGGGCTCGGGCTGAACCGCACGCAGGTCATCTATCTGGCCTTCCCCGGTGAGATGCTGCTCCGCATGCTGCGCATGATCATCCTGCCGCTGGTGGTCTGCAGCCTGGTGTCGGGAGCCGCCTCTCTGGACGCCAGCGCTCTCGGGCGCCTGGGCGGCGTCGCCATCGCCTACTTTGGCCTCACCACGCTAGGCGCCTCGGCACTCGCGGTCGCTTTGGCATTCATCATCAAGCCTGGGTCTGGCGCGCAGACCCTCAAGTCCAGCGACCTTGGGCTGGAGGGGTCGGGTCCCCCTCCGATCCCCAAAGAGACAGTGGATTCTTTCCTCGACCTGGCCAGGTAACGATCCCCTCTCCCCACTTCCTCAATGGAGATGCCAGCTCTCCAATACACTCCAGTTCATTCCTTCATAAACACACACCTTCACATACTCCTAAGAGTTATTTCTTAATGGGCTGCTGCTATTTTTCTAAAATATCAAAGTATTGTCTGGAGTGTTTGCATGCTGACCACACCTTTTCAAACATGCGCGGGACAATCTGAAGGAGCAGGGCCACATCTTTTAGCAAGAGCCAGTCCTACCGTTAGGTGTATATGCATTAGGGTAGAGGCAGCGGCCCCACCTGTACTTGACTCCTTATACTCTGGCTTCATTCTAACCCACTCCTGGGTATCTTCACCCCATTGTCTCCCATACAGTGCCGGAAGCTTCTGGGAGCATTGGTTAAATTTTGCCTGTTGGGCCATCCTGGCCTGTAATCTATGGCCTTCTCTTTCAGCCCTTTGGCTGGGAGGAAGTTGGCAATTTTTTGGAAAGTTGTCAGAGGACCGAAGGATAACAATGCTGGTATCAGTTGTGTGGGGCCCATTGCCCAGACAGGCCTCCCCTGGGGGCTTGGGACAGGTTGCCCTCCACCCCATACTCAGGACCACTATAGAGTATTGTGTTTCAAGGGGCTTTATTTGTAGAAAGGTGTGACTTCTGAAAGAGAGGGAAAGAGAAGCATCTTCACTTGTAGCTTTGCCTGCTTCCCGTGACCCTTACAAGTTGTCTTTCATCCCTTGAGACATAGTGTAGTTACTGCAGTTTATCCCAATCAGCCTCTCCTTTCTCCATTAGCCCAGAATTCACTGATGGGAAAATTGCAGCCTGGAGACATTTACTGACCTGGCCAAATGCAGTTGAGTGAGTAGCCCAGCTGGCTCCCGCTCCAGGTTTCCAATTGGGAGCCTTGGAGAGCCGTGTTTTGTCTTGAGTCACTGACGCAAAGCTCCTCCTTGCTAAGGCTGTGAAAAACAGCAAAACCTGGGCAAAGTGACTGGACTTCCTGCTGTTTCCATTTCTCCCTCTGGAAAATGTGAAGACTTTCTACCACATAAGAGTAAATGTGTTCGTTTGAAACTACAGCAGCAACAACAAAAAAGTCCAAGGCATTACATTGAAAAATCAAAATCTCTGATGAGGCAGACCAGAAAGTGTAACAAAACTTCTTCCCAAAAAGGCAGGTGGAGGTTGCTTATTAGGACTTTGATGACATCATAGACTTTGTTTAGTATCTGGCAGCTTGATATTTGGAGTCTTTAGAGAACCTTAAAGTTTGGTGACTCACTTTTAGCTGGGTGTTGAAAACAGTCTAATGAGGCTGAGAGTACCTTTGGCTCTTCGGTATATCTGTTAGCTGTCCTGGAGAGAAAGCTGGTTAAAGGGTCCTTTTTTGCAGGGATTAGTGGCCCAGGAAAGAGTGTGGATGTACAGTTTTGACCTGCTGGTTGTAGCCCCAGGGGAGGCACAGTAGCATTCTCATCTTCAAGAGAGGGGCCATGCCAAAATGGGGGTGGGGTTGATAGAGTGGTTACCTTATTACCACCAACCCCAAAAGGGATCTCTTATTTCCTAATTGGAGCTTGCGAATTTTAGATCCAAGCCCCTTTAGCTCCTGCTTCTGAAGTGAATGGTGGCCCAGCATTATGATGTAGCAGTCAGTGTAGGTGCAGAATTTTCAGTGACTTGGGCTGCAGATACAGGGAAGAACTAAAAGAACCTTTGTTGTGGCTTGTTGGGCATAGGTAGTGTTTCATAATGCTTCCAACAGCCAACCTCATTTAATCCAGCAGCTCACGGATAAAGGTAGTGTAGGTGGTGTGTGTGATCCTATTTTACAACTGAGGAAATCGAGCCACAGAGAGATTAAGTGATTTGTTCAAGGTCACCACGTAGTTTATCAAAAGGGATTAGAAGAACCATGGGTCTCTGTGCCCTCCCCCAAGTCAACATTCCATAATAAAGACATCATGCGGCTAGTCTAGTCGCACAGTCTCAGAAATTTTGCTCTGAGCTAAAGGAGGAACCAGGTAAGGGTTTTACTGGGTCAAGGCAGATGCCCACTTCCTCTAAAAAGAGGAGATAAGTCCCTTTGGTGACGGAAGGTGTGTGTGCAGCTGCTCAGGCTTGGCTTTCACACTGAGCAGCTTGTGAGAGGAACAGTCCTGAGCCACGTGGAAATACTTCCTGGATCTGGGTAAACATTTTCACAGAAAGCTCACAGATGTCGATTTTAAGTGACCCTGGGCATGTTTCTTGGCAGAGGCAGGGTGTAGTCCTTTCTGCCTGTGGGCATGTGAATGAAATGAGAATCTGCCAGTAAACACTTCAGTTATCCAGCAGGCCCTCACCTGGTAACTGCCCACAACTTAAACACCTAGGAGTAGGAAACAACTCTGATGACTTATAGTGCAGGCTTTGCTCAAGTCTATGACCTCTCCTGGTTGTGGAGTGCCCCCAAATCCCATGGGGTCTCTGCCACAATTTCTAATTTGATTTTTCAAGATATAACTACAGCCTGGCCGATTTGGCTCAGCAGTTAGAGCGTCAGCCCTCGGACAGAAGAGTCTTGGGTTGGATTCCCGGTCAAGGGCATGTAGGACATGTAGTTTGGTTGCAGGTTCAATCCCTGCCCTGGTTGGGGTTGCACGGGAGGCAACCAATCGATGTGTGTCTCTCACATCAATGTTTCTTTCTCTTTCTCTCTCCCTCCCTCCCTTCCACTCTACCTAAACAATCAATGGAAAATATCCCCTTGGGTCAGGATTAACAACAACAAAAAAAGATATAACTACAAGTCAGAAAGATATGAAGCCAATAGATTTTTATTATGCCTTTTAGAAAGTTCAGAATGCCATTACCAAGTGCTTTGATCTCCTACCACACAATGGATTAGAAATAAAGTAGACTGGGGAGTGGATGGGTTGCTATCACTAGGAGCAGACCCTTTGAGAGCTGAGATGTGCCAGTGGATAGCAACTGTCAGGTAGCAGAATCCTGAGCAGACTGGAGCTTTTATGCCTGAGGTCCCAGAACAATACAGGACTCTCAAAACTGAGTGTTACCCAAGTGATTGAGCCTTGACTTTTCATCCAAAATGAAATGGTTTTGGCATCAAAGAGACAGAAACAGCTTATCAGGAGCCCAGGGAATGTGGAAGTTTAGTCCCTAACAGTGCTTGTTGATTATGAGTCTTAGGGCATGTCCATAACTTCCTGTGCCCTGGCTTCCTCATTTTCATGGTAGGGATCATGACAGTACCCACCTCACAGGATTGTTTTGAGGGTTAAATGAGTTATATCTGTACAGTTTTTTGGGTTTTTTTAATCCTCACCCAGGACATTTTTCCATTTTTTGTTCAGATAGGGAGGGAGAGAGAGGAAGAGAGAGAGAGAGAGAGAGAGAGAGAGAGAGAGAGAGAGAGAAACATCGACGTGAAAGGGACACATCGAGTGGTTGCCACCCACACAACCAACCAGGGCCGGGGACAAACTGCAACCCTTAGTGGGACCCGAACCTGGGTCTCTCTGGACCGCAGGCCGACGCTCCAACCGCTGAGCCAAACTGGCCAGGGCTTTTTTTTTTTTTTAATGTCTGTACAGTTCTTAAACAGGGTGGACTGGCCCAGTATATGCTTGCTCTTTTTATAAATGGAGCAGTGTTATAGAATGATTGGGGTTTCCCCTGTTCACAACTCATGGGGATGGCTCTCTTTTTATAGTTTGAAATAAATGAGAGTACACGGGGGGGAGGGCATTGGGGGGAGCTCAAGATGACTTGCAGCTAACATAGTCTTTGGGTATATTGGGAACCATGTGGAGCCTGGAGAAAGGAAGTGAACAGTGACTGACTGTTTTGGACTAGTAGAATCAACACTATGGGAGATTTGGAAAATGGAGAAAAGTCAAAACCAAACACAGAAGAGCCTTCCATTCCGAAATGGGGCAGAAATCCTCACATGTGCTCCATGACATTCCAGTTTCTGTTCTCCCTGCATTCGCTGTTATGGTCTCCGAAACTGAACTCAGTTGTAAACGGAAAGGACTGAGGCACCGGGCTTCGAAACATTCAGCTGGATGCTAAACTTTGTAGATTTTGTTTTGTTTGGTTTTTTTATCCTCACCCGAGGACATTTTTGTATTCATCTTCAGATAGAGTGGGAGGGAGAGAGGGAGGAAGAGAGAGAAACATCAACAGGCTGCCACACACACAGCCCCAGGCTGGGGACAAACTGCAACCAAGGCCGAACCCAGGACTCTCCAGTCTGCAGACGCTCTAACCGCTGAGCCAAACCGGCCAGGGCCAAACTTTGTAGTTTTAAAATGGAAAACCAAAGACTTACCCGCAAAGGAGGCAGGTGGGGACAGCTCCCGGCCACGGCTCGGTCTGCTCTGGCAGCCCGAAGAACGGCCCTGGGCCTTGTCTTGACAGAAGTAGAGCAGGGCGCTATTTTGCCTGTTGCCCTTTTCTCTGGGAGTTATGTTTTCCCTTGTACTCATTTTATCGACAGTGGGCTGGGCTCTGAGCCTTTCCCTTCACCAAGGGAGGCTTGAGGGGCTTACTTTCCTCCCCAAGGACTGGTATGATTGTGAGGCCTCTCAAGCTGCAAAGAACATATTTCTCAAGAGGTGCAAAGAAACCTGTTGGAGACTGAAATCTGATATTATCCCCTACCTAATATTATCCCCTAGAGCACAGTCAAAAGCGTGAATAGTGAATAATATCTTTTATTTTATTTATTTATTTATTTTTTTTAATCCTCACCCGAGGACATTTTTTGATATTTTGTTCAGATAGAGTGGGAGCGAGAGAGAGAGAGAGAGAGAGAGAGAGAGAAATATCGACGTGAAAGGGACACATCGAGTGGTTGCCACCCACACGACCCAACCAGGGCCGGGGACAAACTGCAACCGAGGTACGTGCCCTTAGCAGGAACCAAACCGGGGTCTCTCCAGACTGCAGGCCAACGCTCTAACTGCTGAGCCAAACCGGCCAGGGCGTGAATAATATCTCTTAA